ATTTTCCCAAAAAAAAATTAAAATTTTATGCTCACCTTGTTTTTTATCTTAAACTGTGGCTATTAGTATCTATATTTTTTATTGATTAAGTCAAGAATAGTAAATCAAGACTGGTTCACCTTATTTTTTTTTTATAAAATCTAAGGAACGGTACACCCTAGTGTTTTATTATTAGTATTAACTGACCGTGTCGCCATTTGACATACGTGTCCTTACTGAAATAATGTCGATCGCAACAGTTTCAAATGGAAAAACTCGCTAGAAATAGAGGGATTACCTTGCCTTTTACCAATGCATTCATATGTTTGAAGCAATTGTTAATCCGTTTCCTATCATAGGTGAACTCCAGACCAAATATAAACAAATGTGTTTTCGTAACATAAATCGATCGAATCAAAGACAGTAACGGAGTATGGGTAATTAAAGTATGATATTTTATTAAATGTAGAAAAACAAGCTCAACAAGAATTCTAAACAATAAGTTGGATCTCGTAGACAAACATAAAAAAATACCCGACCAAAATAAATATATACATTAAATTTATAGAATATTATTGAACTTCTTACACTATTTCTGGGATTAGTTATCTAGATATGTATTAATATATACCGATTATCACAAATAAAATCATTTTTTTAATTTTTCAAAGGAGCGGGATTTATATACTATCTATATATAAAGGAGCTAAGGAATTCTGTGTTGGACCAATTTTTTTCAGTAAATAATTTATCAAAATTTTCAAAAATAACGGAACTATTTTTCTGAAATTTTAAGGCTGAAATGCACCTGACGATTATGCGATGGTGGTATGCAGCCAAACAAAATTTATCCCAATCATTCAAATTCTATAATTGTATCGTGTTCTTAAAGTACATATACCTGAAATTTAAATAATAGAATAGAAAATTTCGGTTCAAATCTGTGACAACGAAATAGACAAACAGCGTTATGGGAAATCAACATTTTCGTAAAATCAAGAAAAGAAAGATTTATTAAGAATAAAATAATTCATGCATATTCATTTTCTATTCGTCTGCAATAAAACATCTACGGCCGGTTTATAGAAACGAATTAAAAGTTAAGACCTAGTTTATAGAAAGCGAATTAAAGTTAACTCTTAAAAGCGAATTAAATATTTAATCCTCGATTAATTTAACAGAGGAGTAAAATGTGGAATGAGCCCATGATTGGTTGAAACATGCACGTTGCCTAGGAACGGACCTCAATCAAAAGTTAATCGCGAATTAACTTGAGTTTTAAACTTATTAGTTTTTTAATTTTTCAATAAAAGGACAAATTTATCTAAACTAAAATATTGGAAAATCGGAAAATTGTATCATTGAAACAATGAAGAATACAAAAATTTTAAAATGAAAAATCCAAAAAGTTCAAAATAAAAATCGAAAAACTAAAAAATCGAGACACCGAAAATTTGAAAAATTGTGAAAGCATGAAAAATTAAAAAATAAACCTGCAAAATCGGATAACTGAAAAATTGGAAAAACGAAAAAATTAAAAATTCCCAAACTGAAACATCAAAAAATCGAAAAACGAAACAATTTTTCAATTTTAAAGTTTTCAAGTTCTTGATTTTAAATTTCGATCAAAATGAAATTTTGCAAAGTCGAATCACTGTAACACATGAAAAATCAACCAAACGAAACAATTCTGCAATTTTTCGATATAAGATTTTTCAAATTCTCGATTTTTAATTCTTTATTTTCTCGATATTTAATTTTTTAATTGTTCAACAAAAGGACAAATTTATTCAAACCGAAATTTTGAAAAATTTAAAAATTTAAAAATCAGAAAATTGTAACACTGAAACGCCTAGAAACTATAAAATTGAAAAATCAAATAATTTAAAAATTGAGGAGTCGAATTGAAAAAATTAAGAAAAATTGAAAAAACCGAAAAAATGAGAATAAAAAATTGAAAAATGAAACTTGAAATATCGAAAAATTTTAAAATTAAAAAATCTAAAAATAAAAAAAATGAGAAATTAAACAAATGGATAATTGAAAAAACAACTGAAAAATCGGAAAATTGTAATATAGAAACCTGATTAATTAAAAATCGAGAAACTGAAAAATCGACAAAACGAAGCAATTCTGCAATTTTTCGATATAAAATTTTTCAAATTTTCGATTTTTAATTTTTCATTTTCTCGATTTTTCATTTTTTCATTGTTCATTAAAGGAAAAATTTATTCAAACTGAACTTTTGAAAAACCGGAAAATTGTAACACTGAAACATCAAAAAACAAAACAATTAAAAATCGAGAAATTGAAAAATCGACAAAAAAAAACAATTCTGCAGTTTTTCGATATAAAATTTTTCAAATTCTCGATTTTTATTTCTTCATTTTCTCGATTTGTCATTTTTTAATTGTTCAACAAAAGGATAAACTTAGTCAAACCAAAATTTTGAATTGAATGGAAAAATCAAAAAATTGAGAAATCGAAGAATTCAGTAACCCTACTGGGATTTTTTTGTCAACCCTTCCATTGCAAAAAAATTTAAGAAAAATGGCATAATGGGTGTAAAAAATTTATTTGTGTGTTACGTCTTAAAAATAGAACACTGTATATTTAAAAATAATTTTAAAGTGTGGTCCTCAAAGAACTGTACAATTTTGGCCATTGACTTTTTTCTATCTATAATAATAAGTAATAAGAGAGATATCGAGGACTACGCGCTTAGTGGCTCACCCTGTATATTGATTTTGTCGTACTGATTCCAAAAATTTGCGTGTTTACGTTCCCGGTGCAAAATTTAGAAATATAACGAAATATACAGTGCAGAGATGATTTTTGCGGAGAAAATAGCCTTAGAGTTCTACTTTAATTTTCACTACCACTTTTTGTAGTAAATTGTTAACTTGTGCTTTAAAAAATAAAAATTATTTTGATTAAAAAAGTTTGGTACATCATAGACGGTTTTGACTTATTATTTTAACTTGTCATTTTCGACAGCATAATTCTGATTTAATCATTAAATACCTTTAGAGCAGTTTTTAGAAAAGAAATAGAATGATGGAATTTAAACATAAATGAAGATAATAAAAGATAATTTCACTGAAATTGCGTTTTTAATGTCGACGATCGAAAAAACCTGTTTTTATAAATCTGCCATAAAATTTTTAAAATGTGCTCTTGCCGGGTATGGAACGGCTGTTTGTTCCTTGCCACGATTCCATATTATTTATTAGAACAAAAATAAGAGTAACTTAGAATGCTACTACTTGTTCACAATAAATGTTGAAAATGTTGTCCTTGACTAGCAATATAGGCTTCAGCATGTCGCAATTTGTTTGCACAGGTACGTAAAAAAACTCAAGGGGGTTTCACGAACTGAGGCGGCTGCCACTTCCACTTATTGTTGAAGCTTTTCGATAGTTTGTGGACATTGTTGCGTCCAACCCCAGAGACAAAAATCACACGGATTGAGATCGGGTGGACGCGGAGGCCAACTACCGACCCACTGGATAGGAAAATAGTTATTTAACCATTCACTTACTGGCGGAGCAAAATATGGTGGTGTTCCATCATGCAAGTACCATCTGCGAATTCCTTCACCTAAAGGGACTTCCACATCTAGCTGCTTTTCCAAGACATTGTTTAAAAACTCGAGGTACTGTGCCGCGCTTAGTCTATTTGATAAAACATAAGGTCCTAAGCGGTCATTTAGGATACCGACCCACACATTTACGGAAAACCGTCGTTGAAATCGTACTTCTTTACGAGCGTGTGGATTTTCATCGGACTAAATGTGAGTGTGAAACTCTAACTTCAATTGCAAGTCGGCGAGTGCTGATGTCGGGGTCTTCTTCGACGCGTTCCAAAATTTGTTCTTCAACTTGCAGTATTCTTTCGCTCCTATTTTGTTTTCTATAAACCGGGCTTTAATATTTTTGAATAAAGGCTCGTATAACAAATTTTGAGTTCCTGAGTGTAAAGTAGAGAACTATTGTGACAAATGACTAATTTCGTGTTTTCTGCACGTTTTGATAACTCCCAGAATATGAAAAAGTAGATCCCCCAGTTCCTCCTGTCCGTGATTTTACATTCATTATTGTGAAATTTTACATGCGGTTTAAGAATATCACCTAAACTCTCAAACGCAACAAAATTAGATATATCCGAATATCCTCACCCACAATTTGATAATTTATCTCCAGACTTTGCTAATATATCCTACTTAAAATATACAAAATAATATGCTTTTATCTTTGGGATTTATTAATTTATTTTAACTTTGAGCATGCCGAATTTTGAAAAAAAAAAATATACAACACATTTTATCATATTTTATCTTAGAAATTACGAAGCTTGAAGTTTTGCACACGTTTTAACGTTGTCATGAATTATGGTAAATCACTAAGGAAAAATTCACGTGAAATTTGATAAGATTTTTTCTAAATTTAGTAAAGTAAATCGTCGCTCCTTTATTTGTGGATTAAGAATGTATCTTATATCTTTTTAAAACTGCTTATACAGGATATTTCAAAAAAATTAATCAACGAAAAATGTATAGAAATTCTGGACACACAGAACCGTTGTTGTTAGGGCACATATTAAAATGGATGTTGACAATTTTACTTAAAATACACGGATAAATATACTGTACGCTACCATTGTAAGCTTTACCTGTAGTTTAATTAATAATACTACATTTTGGACTGAAAAAAAAATGTTTGTAGCGTTCTCGATTATAGTGACGATATTCAACTTTTTTATACTAAATGGGCACATGCTCATTTTTTTCGCTATTTTTGGAAGAGTCCAATGATACAGCATAATTGCATTAACCTATAAAAAGAAAAAAATTAAAACTAAAAGTAATTATGCAATTTACTGCACTAATCAAATATTGCCTAGATGTCTAGGTATGCACCAACATCTCAGACATTCCTAGAATTCCAAGAAATACATATCATCAAACGTACTTGAGCGCCGATAAATTATGTCAACAGCCTGTACCAACATGATCGACTCACCTTCAAACTGCCTTTGCTAAACAGATCGTAAAGTTTTAAAGCAAATTTATCACAACACTCGCACCGCTACTACACCAAGTTACTATAACTAGACTCCAGTTCAATTATCTCCAACAAGCACAAAGTACGACATAAACATCTAACAAATTATCACAAAATTTATCGACCAAAATAATTACAGTACGAAATAACTAGTTAATCTTTTTTCCTAATAATTAACACATTCGCAAATTTGCACAACACGCCTCCACCAAAACCACACTTGCAACGTTTTCGCGTTGATTTTACAGCAAGAACTCCAATTTGTTAACATAATATGTGCGGCAAATTAATTTTGCACCCACGCAAAATACTTCTCCAGTAGGCTGTACATCAATTACACTAATGCAGCGCAAACAGATTAGGCAAATGTGGCAATACTGATAATGTGTAGAATCTGCTGGAAAATCCACGGTTTGAAATAATCACACTATAATTAAATGGGTACGAATGGGACCTAAGTCATGTTGGTGTCATGTTTCTGCCTGCCCACAAAGGACGGAGGAATAGGGGCAAGAACCGACACAAAGCAACAGTTCTTTCAGCTTCTCGTCATTTCGTCGCATTTATCCTTTTTGCAGGGTTTGTGTGCTTATAATGTAAAAAAGAGGTCACTCCCAATTTATTTAAGATTAGAAGTCTTTCTGGCACGTTGTGCGAAATTAGTGGCCGAAAGGAAAAATTGACAAATTGCGTGTACTCCAAAATTGTTGTTTAAGTGGAGTTTCCTACTACGAACAGTCGAAATAATTTTTAATCTTTGGTAAATTGCTCAAGCAGTTAAATAAAAATTAGCTGCTTTAAACACGTCCGGTTTCAAGTTTCAGGGTCGTGTGTGAACACTGCAAAATTGAGTGAGTGGGTCAAGGCGGGGGTGAGCTGGCCTGAAAATGAAAGATTCATACTAAAATTAAAAAGACATTATCCAAACATCTGAAATTATTTATAAAGTAATTTTAAAGTGAAAGCACAAACAACAATCAAGTTAAACATGACAAGCTGGACACAAGCAAAAATATTATTAAAAAAAACTCCAGTCCAATACTTTGCTTACACTCAGGAATTAAAACACTAATTTAATTTAGAATAATATATTTTAAGAATCCCCAGAACAAAAATAAAAATTCAATAAATAACGGCAAAAATACTTCGAAGCTGTTTCGGAAAAATAAAGGTGCGGGCTTTGTACACAAATTTTAAAAGTTAAATTGCATTTTAAATAAATCCGTCAGTGCCGAAACACTTTTTTATTCTCCCCAACGAAGATGATTTATTATATTTGACATCCTCCCGCAAATCGGATTCGAAACGAAAAAGTTGTATTTGTTTGTTGCTTGTGGATGATTTACCGTTCACTGGAGCATTGTTAGCGCTGGTCTATTAATTTGCAATGTTAATGAAGAGAGATTTAGTTAAGCTGATCGTGTTTATAGCGAACTTGGCTATTAAAGTTATTATTCAGCAGCCAATATGTTAAATTCCTGTTGGCATTACGTCAGGATAATCAATTAAGTTAAAATATTAATCATGGATACTATTTTAGGAAGACGCGTTGCAACGTTAACACTTACAAAAAACATTGTTTTCAAATTTTGGCGTCTAAAATTTTTATGTGTTAAATTTTTTTTATGCCGTCAATCATCTCTTTTAGGGGTGTTTCTGTATTCTATTAAAAAGGTGAAGTGTGTGTATGCAAGAAAATCTGAATCAGGCCTTACAATACACCCCCGCGTATAAATCCATGAAATTTTAATGAATCTGGATACTATTTCCGTCGTATTAAAGAAGATCATTTGATTCTGAAGTTCGAACGTCACACGTTATTACAAGTTTCCCTAACGTTTAATTCGTCTGCATAGAAATATCTGGCAAAGAAATATTTAATGAACGTCTATTAAAATGATGGCGTCTCACATTCCGCCTCTTCAATATTTTATTCGACATCCGTTTTAATAATTCTAACAATGAAGCGGAGTAATATACGACATGTTAACCCAGGATTAGAGAGTTTGGACTCCTGAAAAAACAAAATTAATTGTTTGACTCCAAATGCTATTTTTATTTTCAAAAATTGAAGAAATATATTTTGATTGAAACTGAAAAGTATAAATATTTAGAGGATTCCAAAATACCCCGGTTCAGAAGTAGATAATGCCAGTGTATCAGACGTCTACCCTTTTATTCAAAGGGGTAACACTATCGTAAACTAGACGATAATTAAATGCGGCGTCTAATAACCTCAACACATCATCGACTATTAATTCTCGTTTTTCGATACGTATATTCGAAAAGGGTAGTTCTGAAGTGTTCGATTAATAATGAAGGACGAAAGTGAGCGTAACGGTAGAATAAATAAAGTGAATGTCAGTATAATGGTCGTTTTCAAAACAAATGACAATGGAATAACAGCAAATTAAGTAGATAATCGATAATGATGGAGCGTACTTTTTACTAAAAACAAAAACCAATCGAAATAATAGCGGCTGTTTATCATATGGTGGCAGGGGCGAGTTCAGGGAGAGCAAGGCCAAGCCAACTTGGAACGCGGTTCACTGTTCATAAATAAAAGAATAAGTATCATGAATGAATGAACTTGAGTTCATTTCACCCTGAACGTTAAAAGTATATCTGAAATTTTATCGATGTTATCACTCATTATATCCGCCGTGTTATGTATTTCATTAGTGGACAAAATTTCTAGTTGGAAATGTAATGAACTTTATATTTTAAAGATCTACCAACACAGCGATTTATCTTGAAGTACTGATCTATTTTTCATGCAGCAATTGATGGAAATTAAATTGTTAGTCAATGCAGGCTATTTAAATGTAATGAGTAATGACCCTGTAGATATAATGATCAGTATGCTTGAACTTACATAATTTTGATAATTCAGGCTGATGTAATGAACCAAATTACACTTTTTGTATCCCATCCCTGAATCTTTTAATGTCAGTTTTATATAATATTGTAACAATAGCACAAGTTCAAACTTTCTTCAGTTTGTTTGTATGTATCTAAAATTTCCACGCTCTCTTTAAATAAAACTTTCAGCCATTCTTTATTTCCAAAATACTATAAACTGTAGCCAGGAGAATAAAATCAGAGAACAGAACCCGTAACACTGAGAAAACTGTAAACACATACTGCCGTACAATACATTTTAAATATTTATATGGAGTGATTATTTTATTTCTTTCCTTCTAAGAAAACTATTTCTCGTCCTGAATAAATATTTTCACGACGCCGACGTTGTGACCTTCCGGCAATTTGCGTTCCAAGCGATATTGAGGAACATTATCCAGAAACAGAATTTTATTCAGCTTTAGAGGATTCCACAAAAAATTGGTTGAAAATTATTTCGACAGAAGTTCCACCACCCTGAAGTACATACAGTCCAACAAACTCCTCTTCTTTGAAAAATTATAAAATTTGATTCCACAGCTTTTGACCGTTTTGTAAGTTGAAAACAGTGATAAAAACGGCGTTCTGAAATTTCCATAAATAATTGAGATATTGATTTTTGAAGATACGTAATGAGATTCTAATCCCAGATGCTCAAAAGGAAATGATAAAAAAACTCATTTAAAAAACTGCTCTTGCGTTATATACAGGTGACTTCGAAATGTGTGCAATAAAAAAAATCGTGCAAAAATACGATAAGGGCCAGTCACGTATCAGTTGGTTGCCGTCGTGTCGTGTGTTCGGTTAACGTCTTTGACAATGTTGAATTTTTCTAATTCAGAGCCTGTCGATATGGTAATGCTTTACGGTGTGACTGATGGAAATGCCAGGTTGGCCCGCGAATTGTGAATCGAGTGCTTTCCAAATCGCGCGATTCCGTGTGCCCGAACATTTGTATCAGTGGTACAGCATCTCCGAGATCATCAGACTAAGCGCGGCACAGTACCTCGAGTTTTTAAACAATGTCTTGGAAAAGCAACTAGATGTGGAAGTGCCTTTAGGTGAAGGAATTCGCAGGTGGTACTTGCATGATGGAGCACCACCATATTTTGCTAGGCCAGTAAGTGAATAGTTAAATAACTATTTTCCGATCCAGTGGGTCGGTAGAAACAGCACGGTAGTTCGCCTCCGCGTTCACCCGATCTCAATCCGTGTGATTTTTATCTGTGGGGTTGGGCGCAACAGTTATTTTATGGAAATCAACAATGTGCACAAACTATGGAAGAGCTTCAACAATAAGTGAAAGTGGCAGCCGCTACAGTTCGTGGAACACCCGGAGTTTATAAACACAGGTTTTTTCGATCGTGGAATCGCAGCTTCAGTGAAATTATCTTTTATTATCTTCAATTATGTTTAAATTCCATCATTCTGTTTCTTTACTAAAAAATGCACTAAAGGTATTTAATGATTAAATCAGAATTATGCTGTCAAAAATAACAAATTAAAATGATAAATCAAAACCGTCTATGATGTACCAAACTTTTTTAATCAAAATAATTTTTATTTTTTAAAGCACAAGTTTACAAATTACTGCAAACAGTGGTAGTGAAAATTAAAGTAGAACCCTAAGGCTATTTTCTCCGCAAAAATCATCTCTGAGTTTTCACCCTAACAGAAGTCTAAAATTTAACATAGGAATTGCTATGGCCACTTTTAAAAAAGATGCACTGTATATTTTTTTATATTTCGAAATTTTGCATGGGGAACGTAAACCTGCAATATTTTTGGAATCAGTACGACGAAATCAATATACAGGGTGAGCCACTAAGCGCGCAGTCCTCGATATCTCTCTGATTACTTATTTATTATTGATAGAAAAAAGTCAAAGGCCAAAGTTGTACGGTTCTTTGAGGACCACACTTTAAAATTATTTTTAAATATACAGTGTTCTATTTTTAAGACGTAAAACACAAATTAGTTTTTTACACCCATTATTCCATTTTTCTTAATTTTTTTTAGAATGGAAGGGTTGACAAAAAAATCCTAGTAGGGTTAGTGAATTATAATAATAATAATAATAATAATAAATTTTATTGAACCAATTTTAAATAAATAAATTAAAAACATTGGTACAAAAGGTACAGATACATTTATATCTAACCTAACATTAGTATTAAAAGAAGTTTAATTATTAATAATTTAAAACAGACCTAAATTTATATTTGGTATATAATCGAAAAATTGAAAATTCTTCGATTTCTCAATTTTTTGATTTTTCCATTCAATTCAAAATTTC